AATTACTTTTGATTTGAATATAATACGGTGCAGTGTAGGTAATATCACTGAAGACATAGTAATTGTTAACGACATGTTAATTGGACAAAACGTGATAAACGTATCAATATAAAATATTGATGCAGTATACTAATAATAGTATAGATATTAGCAATATAAACTTTCACGAGTCACAACACAATAACAGTGATGAAAGTGTAATAATAATAAACTTTAAAAATAATAAAATTATTGACAAAGTATAAATATTCGTTTTAAACATACGTGACCGATTAGGGATCAATAATTTGTCACTGTAAATATTTCAGTTTCATAAAATTTCATGTTTAATATAAGATATTGAAACAGATCTTGAAAGAACAAGAACTTCAGAACATGACCAATCAAACAAAAAACTTGTTTAATTTTGTTGTTTATTGATACTATAATTTTGATATTTCTATACTAAACTTTTAAATAAAGTTTTTAGGAGTACTATATTTGTTTTCTATTAATCATAGAATTCTTTATCATAGAATTCTATATTCATTAATCATAGAATTCTCTATTATTGAAAAATAATATAGATATAAAATAATTTATATATAATAATAATATATATATTTATTTTTAATAAAAAAATTATTCTATTATTATTTTATGATAAAATATTTTATATAATTTTAAATAAATTTTAATTAAATTGTATTATCTTATATAAATTTATTATATTATAAAGCACTCTCTCTTTTCTTCTTTTCGAACAGTCAAATAGATAACTGTAAATATACTCTTTGAATATTGAATCTCCGATTAATACTTCCTCTAAATGTTTTCGAAGCTCTGACAATGTCATTTGCACATTCTGCCGCGGAACGAAGCGAAACTCTCGACACGATTATTTAATAAACCGTTTCGCGTAAATGCGTCTTGATTAAAAGTACGGATAGTGCAAGAAATGGAAAGTTTCGAATGGATGCTGTCCTGTTTGCACGGTTTTATTGATCTTCCGAGAAAATTCGTCGTTTACCTTTGCACGCGAAGGCGAAAACTTCCTTCGTGGAGAACGAAGTTCCGTCGAATGAGGGTAGTAGCGTCGTGTACAAAGTACCAGTTTCGTAGAACTTACACCAGCCGACGTGTATCGCTATGTGGAACGATCTTGAGGAAAATATTGTTTCCAACGGTGCTATCGTCATAAAGAAAGTTTCATCGAAGATATTTTTACGGAGGGATATATCTCCGTAGGTTCTCGTCAGAGAAATCAATTCAAGAGACTTTTCATCCATTGGTACTTGAACTTCAGCCCATTGTGATTTACAAGTCGTTACTTCCGTTCTCGATGAAAAATCGATAGTATAATTTTTGACTGAGCAATTCTGTACATTTTGCTACTTGAAGACTGATCGATTGCGATTTGCAAGTTGATTGTCAAATGTCACGAAAAAGTGCAATGGAACTTGCACGTTTCATTTCATACCAGTATTCAGTTATTCAAATTGTTTTTGTCGTTGATGGTTCGTCTTGTTTTAATCACTGTAAAATATTTTTATTCGACCCAACGTAATTAACGTATTTAACAGAGAAAATCGAAAGTATAATTTTTGACGAGGTAATATAATTCGGGAGGTAAATATTGTTTCGCAAATTTGATTTCAGTGGAAAATATAATCTATATAATTAATTAAAACGCAGAGTGTTTACGTTTAAATGGGAATGGTGGAATATCTCGTGATTAAAGATTGCCAGAAAGATGTAGTTTGGTAAAGGGCTACATTATAATAGTATAGTTAATATTTTTTTTTGTTAATATAGTTAATTTTTTTGTTAATGGAGGAAATTTTAAAGGTCCAAATAATTTTTTTAAATGGAACATATTTCTTTTCATTGATGACGAGAGAAGAATATAATATAATATAAATCTCATAACAATATAATACAATCTCGAATAAAAATTTAGTTATAAATTTAATCACACATCTTATCATTATATTAATCAACAAATGAAGTTGGAGAAATGAGGATTAATTTCAAAATTTTCACAAATGTTGCTATTATTTTGAAATTTATTGATAGAAACATGTCTACGAATTATTTCTATGATTCTTAAAAATTTAATCATGTTGTCAAGTATCTTTCGTACTAATTTCCCCAATCGATCAATGTTTGAAAATCTCTTTAAAAATTTTTCTCATTCTCGATGAGAAGATATCTTGTTAATCGTAAGTAAGTTTCGCGAAAAAAGGGAAATGAAGTTCGATGGAGGATCGAATCATAGTGCTGCACGAAAATAAAACGTTCCAGGGAAACGTGGTTAATACCAGTGGCTGTCCGGAAACTATTAAATTCTGGCGCATGACGTAATTAAAAGGCATTCTGAATCTTTCAGATTCGCTTAATGAAACGCGGGGAAAAAATTGATTTTTACCCGGTTGCTTTGTTTTCCTTTCATTACCGGTGTCTCTTCTCCCAACGACGGAATATCGGCAATGCACTTCAATCTGAAATTCAATAATTCAAAGACTGCTAATACGTAGGGGATCATCGAGTTAAGAGAAAAATGATCAGACATTCTTTCTCTCCTCAATTTCTCATAACCGCTATTCACGGTAGAATTTATAGCGAGAAGTATAATTGAACCAATCAGACATTTTGTACAAGCTCTTTCTCATTATCGTTGATATTAACTCTTTGGGAACAAATGTCACCGTTAATGTTACCGACATTATTTTATTTCTCAGCTGTTAGCGATTTAAAATGTTTAACATTTATTTTTAATATTATAATTTATTTATTTATTATTTATATTATAATTTATTTTATTTTAAATTTATATTATAATTTATTTTATTTTAAATTTATATTATAATTTATTTTATTTTAAATTTATTTATTTTATAATTAATTTCAAATTTATTTATTTTATTTTAAATTTATTTTATAATTTATTTTGTTTTAAATTTATTTATTTTATTTTAAATTTATTTATTTTATTTAACGCATAAAATTTGTTTTCGTCGTCTTTCACGAGTTTTATAAAATTGAAGTCAAGATATTTACTTGTACGAAAAATATGATCGTAAATATATAGTTTTACTTGAACTATTCATCTTCCTCCCTTAATATTATTTTCTAATTTCAATTAGCAGATATTAGATAAAGATATTACTTGTTGCATTTGTGCGAATCACCCTATATATTCAAAATTCAATATGTAATTTATCGATGCTATACGTTCAAGAACTATAACTAAATTAAGAAGTTTAAGAACTATATGTTGGTTTTTAGAAAATATTGTATCATAATGTTGTTTATGTAATATTATATTGTAATATTGATTTTTATAAAATATTACGTTACCACTTAAAATAACGATAGTCCTTACAGGAATTTATAGGAATCTTCTTTGCCTATTCTGTTATTAGAAACGTCGAGAATTTTATTCTATTTTAATAATTATTAAAAATAGAATATTTAATAATATTCTATTTTTAATAAATATTAATATCTAAATATTAATATCTAAATTTAATAAATATTTAATAATTTATCTTTTTAAAATAAATTTTATTGAAAAATTGTTGCATCATTTACTTGATAACAGTCTTTCATTGTAATTCATTTATCATTTATGACAGTATAATATTGCATTAGTAGATTATTATATGCATTTATAGAAACTTTTGAAATACAAGATTGCACATGATATAAAAAAAATACATAAAATATTCAAAGTATAATGCTTTCTATATTACTTAATAGAGAGAAAAAGAAGATTTTATACTGAAGTTAGAATTTTATAATTATATTATTTCAAAATATGAATTTGCACAAAAACTCATAATCTATTCATTAGTCTTTTCAAAATTTTATTATACTGGAATGTACTGTAATCATTATTTACCAACAAATAATTTTTATTTATAGCCTTGCAATTAAAAATAAGTAAATAGCCGAATAATTTTAGTAGAATGAAAAAGAAAGTACTCGATCCTGCAATATGTTCTCATTGAGAATTCTGTAATTCTTGTACTTACCCTGATGGAAGGAGGAGCAAGTCATAGTTTGATCGGTAATGTTATTAAACCAGCAAGTTCAACATGATATTAATTAAGGTTCTAGATAGAAGTTTAAGAACTTTCCAGGGAATTACAATATTAAATTGTGCATAATTAATTCCGGCGAACTTTTTATATTTACCTTAGTTTGTTTAAGAGGAAGCTCGACGTACCGAAAGTAGGTAGAAGTGATATTGTATCAAGTATTTTATTACTGCATGGCTGGATTTTTGTCCATTAATAAACAATCTAAAGATGTGAAAATGCACAGTAAAATTAAGGAAAGCTAAAAAAATTAGAAGAAAAAAATATCAAGCTATAATTTTTGTTATAATATTTTATAAAAGAAAAAGAAACAATTTTTCATCTAGATTCCTTTCTCTTAATTGTATCCACAAGAATACGAATTTATATAAATATTCAGAGTTTATTCGTTAAATACAATTTGAATGAAACAATCTTCTAAAATTTTTCATCTAAAAACAATACAGAAGATTTACTTCAAATAGAATAAAAGTAAAAGTAAGGAAGGATTTTGATAGTTTAATTTAATTTAATGTATTAAGAAATTGTTCAATAGAACTTCTTTTTTCTTCGTTATTTAAGAAAGAATTATAGATAAAATTGACTGCGAATTTTCATGCATTTATGAGAAAATTAATACATAAGACATCAATATAATAATAAATAGATAAAACATTTCCCTGCTCAAGTCCAATTTTCTTTTTGACATACATATATGATTATATCCATGAAAATTCGCAATCTGTTTATTACTTTAAAAAAAAAATCAGTTTACAAACAATCTAATAACATTTAAATTCCTTTACCAAAATCTTTCTGCTTCCCCTGGCAAAAGATTCACTGCAATCATTGTCGCTTCAAAGGGAAAAAAGGAAGTAACGAGGAAGAGTAGGTACTGATGAGTCTTGAGACTTGGTCAAGTGAAAATACATCAAAAAATAGTTCAACAGAGCTTTCTTTTCTTTTCCTCATTGCCCGAGAAAGAAACAAAAAGAGAGAAAAAAAAAAAACACTTACAAGTTACAGGTGCACTTTGGAAATATTCACAGTAGTACTTACATGCGTACGAAAAAGCACACTTTAAAAAAGACGGCTCCCACGCATACACACCGTAGCGCTCGCCACAGATGAAACACATTTTCTCGACCACGCAATTTGCTGTTCGCAAAGGTGAAAACTGGATTCTCGTAAAAAAGTCTGACGCTAGATCGTCGAGCAGTAAGTGCGTTATGTTATCGCGAGGAACTGTGGCTTAGAAAATCACTCGTCCCGCCTAGGGTAAACGATAAACTCAAGCGATAAATCGTCAACTCTCGGCGAAGTTTCATCGTTGAGCGAACGATTCACGGGATCCTTCCTAAAGTAACCGATTTCTCAGTCGTTGATTCCAACGATGAAACGTTTTCGTAAAATATCTAGCCCTGAAAAAAAAAAAAAAGCGATATCGATTCTCTTCTTTGATCTTATATATATGTACACGGAAAGCAGGGCATTCTCAGACGTTCTTTTTTCCTTTTTCCTTTTGATCTTAAAACTCTCGTACATGTTGCTTATGATACATACACTATGTACAGCTTCTTTGTACAAGTTTCTCTAAAAAGAAAGAAAGAAAAAAAAAAAAAAAGAAAGAAGAAAGGAAAGAAACAAAATAAAGTGATAAGAGAATAGAATAACATTATCCTTCGTGAAGAGATAACAAGATAACGATTTCGCAAAAGACTAATAAATCAGAACGAGGTTCGACATTTGATAATTGACCTCAACACGTCACCCTGGCTAAAACTTTAGTTAACAAGAAGTTATTTTCTAAAACCATAAAAATATACGTATATCACACCCTCGTCTTTGCTATCCTTCAATCGTTCATCACTGATCATTTTTTACACACGTCTTTTTACACGGTCTTTTTACAACAAGGTATACTCTACGCGCGTTAGAAATTTCAGTTCTTCCTCTCGTTTTTATGTTTGTTAGTCATTGGGAGATTTTTCTTTTTGCACTATGTCACTAGACGGCTAGGTGCCAGCGTCATCGGCTTTCTCGTGAACGACTTGACTCGAATCTTCGCGATTTACACAGTCTCTTATCGCTTGGAGAATCACGCGCACCCTTCTGTCGAGGGCTGTGAAATGGGGTTCCCATAGAACTGGCGCCACTGGGTCCTTTGCCATGCTTTTTCGCAACGCTGCGCTCAAGGGGACTGGCCCATTGTGAAATCTGAGAACAGAGAAAAGAATCATCGCTAAACTTTTCAGTCTAAAGACGTGTATATATATATATATATATATATCTTTTCTTATTCTTTATTAATATTAACTTTCACGTCAATGGAATATTCACGTGATACGAAAATGCTTGCATAAGCAACAAATTCATATCTTTACTCAAAGTGAAAGCTAAATAGGAATACTTTATTAACACACTATTAACTTTATATATAATATATATATAAAGTATTATATATAATATATTTATAATATATTTATAATATATATTATATAATATATATAATATATTTATAATAATATATATTCGAGAATAATTTTTGATTTTATTTAGGGCATTGGCACGTTAATTGAATAAATAGAGAATAGAATAAATAACTTTGAATAAATAGAATGAAACGTGATTATAATTAAATATTAAGTATCTTCTAAATAAAAATTTTTGAAAGATAATATTCTATAAACACGATATCTAGAGAGTTTGGAAAGTGGATTATAAAAGGTTAAGAATTTACAAAATAGGAATTTTCTTAATGATCAATCAATAACTATGAGTCTGTAAAAAATACAGTTACTCCCATAAATAATTGTCATTTCTATAAAATTTCGAAGCAATTTCAGTCACGAAAAAATTTCTTAATATTTTTGAGAGCTGTTCGAATTTGTAGCATTTCAAGTAAAAAAAAAAGTATCTTCATTTATCCACTTTAATGATGAAAGTTGTCATTGAAAAGAATAAATTCAGGATTGTGAAAGAAGCTTCACGCTTTGAAATAAGCCTAGATGGATTATTATGTAATTTTTTTTTACGGTTTTATAACAGATTGAATATTAACAATTTCTCAAAAATCGAAAATTTGGACTAAATATCTACGAGAATAATTGTATAAAAACATAACAAAGATATAAATTTAAACTTATTATAATATAATTTTCGATTAGTGTAATTGAGTGTTACAATGAAGAAAATTGACGTCGCAAAGTAATGTTATTAAAACTGCATGTAAAATATTTTGGAATCTCATTATTTTTAGAATAAAAAATCATTATGGTCGATTATATTGGTAAAATTTGGTCTTAATTTGAAAATGCAGGAGTTACAAAACGTTTACTTGAAACATGAATATATGAAACAAAATTAGTACGACTTATTAATATGTGAACTATGTATGTTAATAGAAAGTGAATATTGTTTTAAAAATCTGCATTATTTACCAGATAATCATTATTTAATAAAAATCAGATATACATGTATGATTAAGATTCTATTTTTGATAGTATAATTCCAAACTTCATCTGAGAAATAGAATTTAAAAGTACCAGTTGTAACATGAAACACTTAATATTGCATAAATTATATTAAATCCTGAAAGAATCTTAGAAAAATGTTAAATAATGCAAAAAAACTATATATATAAAAATTAGAAAATTATATCTCTAAATGACATGGAAAATTCTCAGTTTTAATTACTTATATTATTCTTTAATAAGAATATCTTTTGAAAAAACGAAACAAAAAAAAAAAAAAGGAAGACAGAAATACAGAAAATTGATACAAAATGACCTAGTCATTAAAGTTGTAAAACCAAGACTACGTGTAAATTTGAAAACCCTCACTAGATCTTGCACAAGGTTTCAAACTGCTTATATTAAATAAAATTCAAAGATAAATTTTCTTCTTTGGAACAGAGAGAGAGTGTGTGTGTGTGTGTGTGTGTGTATGTGTGTATAGAATATTTAAACAAGTTGTTTATGGCCTGTCACCGAAATTCTCTTCGAAAGGGCCATACTTCTGTTTTCTCTCCCTCTTCCTCCCCCTCTCTAAAAACCTGGTCGACCCACAGTTTTCAATATTCACAGGGAATCAAAGTAATTCGATCGTTTTTAATAAACATGCAAATCCACGGACGCAGAAGTCGCCGGAACTCGAAAGATTAAAAACGTGACCCATCCCCTCTCTTTCTCTCCTTCTCCTCTCGTCCCTGTCTGGCGCATTGATCAGCGAGCTCGGGCGTGAGGCGACAGAAATTTTTCAATAAAAATGCAAATGCTCGTAATTAGAAGTTGGTTCGGTGGTAAGACACGTATCTTACTATCTATCACCAAGGGAACTTCCCACCTCCGTTTTGTCACGACATCTTTTCGCTTCCCCTTGTTCCATCCCTTCGAGAAAAATTATTTTTCCAGTTTGAAAATTTTCCACATTGCTCGTGCACATCCTTCGAGATTTCGAGACGCGGTCCGATAATGGAAGATCTGGGCTCTTCCTTGCGGAACAGGCAATGAATAAAGTATCGACTTAAGCAGACAGGTCGCGGAAGGTATTTATAGCGCGTATAGGGTGGCTCGTCTGACATTTTGGCTTTTCAAGGTTCTTTCAAATGTCTCAGGTTAGACGTATTTTTGCCGGCTCTTATGAAATAGATGACGAATCGATCGTGGATCTTTTGGTACTCCAAATCTGTTCTTTTTTTTTTTTTTTTTATCGATTCTTGTGTCACAGATTGCAGATTTTTATTCATGTATACTTTGATAAGAAAATTGTTTTACGTATTATTATAGAATGGATTTTCCTCTGGATGTTTTCTAGATTTTTTTTCACATCAAGTGCATCGTGTAAAAATTTATAAATGCACGAAACTGTGTTACATTTTTTATAACTCAATGATATTTTTTTAATGATAATAAATATCTTCTGTTTGAACAAAAGTCTCATTGGTATATGGTATACTTCCTCGTAATTTCACACTTCAAATTCATATTTCTGCGAATTCATATTTTATATATTTATTTATATATATTTTACATTGATATTTCTTATACATTGCATTTTGTTTAATTTTGCAAATCAAGAAAGCGTAAACTAAAACTAGTTTACCAAACATTTATTCCTTGTAAATAAAGCGAAGATAAATCTTATTTCTGAGTCAAAAAATTAAGCTGTATTTAAAAAAAAATAACAAACAAGTTTTTTAAATAATTTTGAAAAATTAAAGAAATTGTTTTTAAATTTTAAAGAGAAAAAAATCACTTAAAGATTAGTACAGTAGTTTTCTAACGGGACACCTCGTATATGTGGACGTTGTGTGTATATTTAAGGACACATTCTGGAAGAAGCACGCGGATAAAAGTATTTTTCTGGCTGGCTACTTCTCGATGTCACAGGGGAACGTAGAAAAGCACGCTTCTCTCCATCGAGAGAAGGATAAAGACTTGATCGAACAGCTTTTATACCATTTGAACGATTATGGTCTTTGAGGATAGTGATGATCCTAAACGACAGATCCTTTTAATATCTGCCTAATCGAAACTCCAATAGAATTCCATCTTCCAAATCTTTTATTCATATCTTTTTTCAAAATCTGACCACAGTCCATTGCATTGTAATTAACAATTTTGTTTTCATTAAATTGTTTCGATAATTTTGCTAAAGCAACAGTGCAATATTATTTTATAATAAATAAAATAAAGTAAATATAATGATGATTACTGTTTGGTGTTACTCGCTAAAATAATAACTGAATTGTTCTGACATAGTGAATGGAAACTTCAAACTATGGATGAAAATATTCGAACTTGTAGATATAGTTTATCGATTACATGTGTTACATAAAACATTCTGATATTTCATTAATATTACTGTGACATTTTATTATCGATTAATTTCAAATTTTACTAATACAATAATTACGTTAACTGTTTATTACATACAAAAATTCTTCTAGTAAGTGGTTAGACTTGCTTCTAGCAGATACAGACTCTGGTGAATGTTCGAATTTCTTTCATAAGCTACTATTAGATGAAGAAATTGTGAAAAGATGAAATTATACTGTATTTATACTACTAACTTACTATTCAATAGAATGTCAATTCTGTAAAACTAATTAGTTTCTAATTTCTTTAAAATTTCACTACGAATTTTCAAGACCGATTAATAATCATTAACGAAATTAGATGTAAGAATATTTGAAAAAATATAGCATAAAAAATAATAAATAATAATAAGTAACAATAAATGTATAGTATATATAAGAATATATTTTTTCTGCAAAAGAGGAAATTAAATTCCAGTAGCAGTGAAAGTGCTAAACGGTTTTGCAACGAATTTTTCATAATGCAAAGAAAAAAGACGGTATAGTATTTATATCACTAAGTTCATTAAAAACTCGTTAAAAACTTTTCACAGTTAAAAAAGAAATGAAGAAATTCCATGAAAAGAAATTACGAGCTCGACCCTAGAAATATTATTATACCAAATAATTAAAATTGTCCAACAGTTTAATAATATATTAGACAAGAAGCATATGATACGTGTTTCGTATTAAAGTTGAATGAGAACTAAAAGAAAACGAAGTCATAATGAAAGAGAAGTAACCATGACTAACACGATGAAGTAGCTGCAATGAAGTACTCACAGGATGCAATTATCCTATACTATCAGGTTTAATGGGCAATGTGTGGGCTTCTTCAATGCGTCATCAACGTCCAGCACAATTTCATTTAAGAAGACACTCTCGGTGAACTGTGTTCTATGATAATAAGCAACTGGACTAAATTCAACCAAAGTTATGGAAATTTATATTTTTGAAAATATACTCAACCCACATCTGTTCCTCATTTGATATTTGATACCTATGGTGGAAAGATCAATAATTAAATTTGCAAATTCTTTCAATAACAATAGTTTCCATTTAATTGCGTAGAAAATTCATATAAATCGTATTTTTATGCATAAATGTTCATTTAGGCATTCAATTTCATATTATAATCATTTGTCCTGGATTTTTACTTGTTACACCTACATTCCAAAACCATAAACGGCTATACTACACTTTTTCGAAGAGATGGTGCATTACATACAATACACAATAATTAGAATGAGTATTATTTGTAATCTGAAGGCATGCTTTGTTATTAAAATGCTACATGTTAAAAAATATGGATGTTACGGAGCCTCATTAGTCTCAGAGTCTCGAGCACGATATTTTATAT